CATATATTTAGGCTATAAAGTGCTCATAATCCCAGATCTCTCCTACTGCCACATGCCACAAACAAAGCTAAACTGGACCGGACCTGTATAGAGGTATAGCCAAAATGATTATTTGCCTGAACTCAACAATCTACTCCTCTGTGTCTGCATGTCTCTTCCCTTTTTTTCTCTCTCCTACCTCTCTCACTGGCTGTTGTCTGAGTCACTTGTTCAATTACACCGCTGACCATCTCGCACTACAGCAGTGGTCTCCAACCTAGTACTCCTAGAGAGCCTAGTTCACAATTGGCCACACCTACTCCAGCTAATCTGAAGGCTAAGGAGTGACTCATTTCTCCTTTCACACTACCAGATCACCCACGCTGTAAATCGCTTCTGGTTGAACTTCTGACCTGGAAAATCACTTCAGACTGCAAAACTTTGTCAGAAGGAGCAAATTTGGGGTTCAAATTAGGCTAAAATTGTGTAATGTAAGCCCAGCTTAAGTTGTTATGCCACCCTTGAACTGCCAGAACAGTTTCAACATCAGAATAACTCCGTATAGATGTGCACTGACCCTCTCCTCTACCCTGTATTGACATTCTAAATCACCACCGTTTATTCTTATGCACTAATACTTGAGCATCACTGCCTCTGAAGGTGTGCTTTCTATGACAAATTCCAAACATAGTTACTGATGCCTTATAAAGTCAATATACTCACATACACATGCACACATACAATCAAGCGAAACCACTTCACTTCAGAGGCTTTTCTGATTTCTATTAGCAGATGAACTGATGGATTTCTAGAGCTGTTGCTAGGCCATTTCTAAGACCCAAGCCAGACTGCCTGGCCAATCAAAGAGCCATTTAGAGCTGACTTCAGAGGCCCCAGCCAGCAGCAGGCCACAGGGCCGCAGAGCTGCAGGAGAAATGGCCCTCATGTCATATGCTCTCAGTCTCTTTCATCAACAGGCAACAGTTAAGAGCCACAGAAGCCAGACACAGACAGAAAGATGGAAGGACAGGAGCAGCGGCCGACAAGTGAAAGACAGATGACAGTTGGGGGGGGGAGGGGGGGCACTGAAGACAGAGAATGACAGAGACAAATGAGTGGGGGTGAGATGAGTTTGGCGAAGGGTCTTAATAGTGCTAAGCATGATTTGTGGATACTCTTTATATCAAGTGCCGAGTGAGGATGTGTCGGTGGAGCCATTTCATTTTAATACCTCAGAAACAAGAGACAACATATCAATGTCTTTACTGATTCAAAACTGCAGCAGTGGACACACAGAGAGAGAGAGAGAGAGAGAGAGAGAGAGTAAGAGAGAAAACAGTGAATAAAAGAGAGGAAGAGAAAAACAAAGTGAGAGGTGAGAGAGAGAGAGAGAGAGAGAGAGAGAGAGAGAGAGAGAGATGGAGAAACAACAAAGAAGGAGAGAGAGGGAAAGAGAAACAGAGAAAGGGAGGAAGAGACAAACAGAATGAGAGAGAAACAGAAAGAGAGTGTGAGAGAGAGACAGATATAGACAGAGAGAAAGAAATGGAGAAAAAGAAAAACAAAAGGAGTAAAACAAAGAGGAAGAGAGAGAGCAAACAGAGGGAAAGAGAGAGCAAAAAGAGAGAAAGTGAGGAAACAGAAAAAGAAAAAGAGAAAACAGAGAGAAAAAAGAGAGACAGCGGGATTAAGAGAGGAAAATAAAGACAGAGAGAGAGAAAGAGAGAGTGAAACAGAAAGAGAGAGAGAGATAGAGAAAGAGAGAGAGAGAGACAGAGAAACAACAAAGAGGGAGAGAGGGAAAGAGAAACAGAGAGAGGGAGGAAGAGACAAACAGAATGAGAGAGAGACAGAAAGAACTTGTGAGAGACAGACAGATATAGACAGAGAGAGAGGAAGAAAAAGAAAAATGAAAGGAGGAAAACAAAGAGCAAGAGAGAGAGCAGAGAAAACAGAGGGAAAGACAGAGAGAAAAGAGAGAAAACCAGAAAGAGAGGGAGAAAGAGAGGAAACCAAAAGAGAAAGTGAGGAGACAGAGAAAGAGAGATTAATAGAGAAGGCAGAAATGGACTACACCCGAAAGGGCACGGAAAAAATTAATTGCACCAACCTCATCAAACATCGCAGCCCTACTCCTTATAAAACACCCCATCATAATAAACACTGAGTAATCATTTAGAGAGTAAAAGGCCATGATTACACATTCAGTCCATACAAGCTTCATTTCCACTACTTTATGAACACGACCTAACCTTTCTTCTGCTACATTCTTAAAAATAAAAGTGCCAAAAAGGATTCTCTAGAGCATTTTACAGAACTTTGCCACTGAGTGGTTTCAGCTTTCTTAAAGAATCATCCACTGAAAAGTTCTTTAGGAAACCAAAAGTATTTGTTCTATGGCATCAGTCCAAAGAACTTTAGCGCTTTATTTCTATGAGTGCAACACTACATGTACACTATATGTCCAAAAGTTTGTAGACATCTGCTCATCCAACACCTCTGATTTCATTCAGCTATAAGAGCATTAGTGAGGTTACTGTTATTACATAACCACTTGATTGCAATTATTTCCCACAGTTGCTAGCTTTTACAATCATATGTTTATGCAAAAATGAATGTGAAATGGAAGCATTTTCATCAGTTGAATGGAGACAAATACATTTAAATAAAAGAAAACAGAACATGCATTCACTGAGACGTAATGGGTTCTAATGAAAATAATGACAGTTCTAATTTCTGATGTCATATTATAACACCTCTAGAGGGCATTGTGAGTAATGTTTATTGATGCTTGAGCTGCGTCATCATTTGGGAGCTATTGTATTGAAAGTGTTAAGTAAGATAGCTAAATCAGCCTATTTGGCCACTTCAGGCTTGTACTTTAATAGTTGCATACAATGATTGCGACAGGCCTACATACACTATATGTCCAAATGTTTGTAGACCTCTGCTCATCCAACATTTCTTCTGAAATCAAGAGTATCAGTATGGAGTTTATCTTTGCTTTGCTTAAGTAACAGGCTCTGCTAGATGTTTGATTTCTTGCCACAAGCACATCAGTGAGATGAGTGATGATCAGTCCTTGATCAGAAATGCCACTCCAACTCATCCCAAAGGTATTCCAGAATAGGCAGTCCCACTGCTCCACAGCCCAGTGCTGGGGTGGCTTTACACTCTTGTAGCTGACGCCTGGCCTTGGGCGTGGTTACATTAGGCAAAACTGGACTCGGAGTTTTGCACAATTAATGGTGACTTACATAATTAAATTGGTGTGTCAGCAATTGGTGGCTGAATTCACTAATTAAAAGGGGTGTCTGGATACTTTTGGACATACCAAATATTGCCTTTTAGCAATTCCTCTTGGTGCTGTGGTGCAGCTGCAGGACTTGGACTTTGTGGTTTGTCGTACTGCAGAGCAGGCAGATTCAGCCTTGCTGTCTGGCTCCATTTTAGAGGTGATAAATAATGATGGGGCTGCAGAAGGAGCAGTTTGGGGGCTCTGGACCAGAACACTCCACTGGGTCCCCGCAAGCGAGTGTGTGTGCGTGTGTGCATGTGTGCGTGAGAGAAATTCCGGGGGTGGGCAGCGCTCCAGGACTGAAGTGCTAGAGAGGCAGTGAGAGTGAGGGAAGATTGACTCGGACAGGCCTGACACTCAGCCTGCCCCTGGGCATTGTAGGCAGGGGAGAATGTTTTGCATTTACAGTCTCTCTCTTTTTTACTGCAGGGCTTTAAATGTCTCTATATGTGTTTTCTACTATGCTGCCCTACAATCATTTAGACTTGCTGCTATGCCTGCGGCTCTTCATATCTAAAAAGAATCAATAGCATATCATACCTGACCAACATCAACTGATTAAAAAGGAAGCAAATAATTTCATTCACCAAAGAACGACAGCTACACCATCAAAAAACATGCTTATGTAGCAAATAACACATTCTACTTCACTGATCAGAGCAGAACTCATGTATCCATCAGCCATGTAAACCATGTTCAACCAAAAATAAGAGGCTGTGTATCACGTGTATCACGACAGTTAAGGAGTGTTTTTAGGCAACAGCAAAAACAATATTACAATGAACCAATGTTCAACAAAAAACTGAATTTAGTATTAATAATAATGAATAAACAATTCTTCCTGCAAGCAACATATTCATTAACAGTTGGCCATAGCTGTCAAGTCTCAAGGTTTAAGTATCAGGCTCACCTTTTTCGCCTTGGCTGGAGTCTCACGGTGGTTTTCACATTCTCTAATTAACGTCTGTTTCTCAAAATGGTGGTGCGCTAGGCAGCATCACCACAGTAAGAGCCCAAACTGCCCAGCATTATTGACCAAGATAGCCATCTCACATTAAACACCAGAGTACTGACTGTCCATCAAAACTAAGTAGAAATCCAAAATCAAAGCAAAACCAGCCAGTATCTACACAGTGTATGCATGAATTAAAATGAATACAATGTTAAATTTGATACATCGTGAAGTAAAGTATAAGAAAACAATGTTTTTGCTCAGTTTTGTTCATTTAAACAAAATTCTTCAACAACCCTCTGTTCTTGCACATCTTGCTGAATTACAGGACACCATGAGAGGGGAATAAATTGCTCATGGCCCACCTACTGTGTATGCTACATGAGATGATTTAACCTACACAGCAGGATCTGAAGTCAAGGAGACAAGCGGTCAGGGAAAGGAAGACAATTATTAAGCGTTGGCTTCAATAAACTTGTTTAATCATTGTATGCTAAAATTAAATAATCACTATTAAAAATCACCATTAAAAACAATAATTGTTTTCAACCATAACACAACTTTCAGATAATTTGTAGCAGGCTAATGTTAGAAGTGTCTAGAATGATGGACAGAGCTGTGGATGACACTAAAATTCCTGAAAAGGAGCAATAATTTTTGTTGGCTGTTATTTTTTAATATAAATTAACATAAATTATTAATTTGACAAGTGATCACAGACTTTTGAGCAGCAGTGTCTATGGCTGATAGAGGCTCTTGGGAGTGACTCACTCTGGGTCTTTTCCAGTGCACACGCCCGATGCGGTTGCCCTGGTAGAAAAGCGAGTCGTCTACAGCGGGGAACAGAGGGTCTTCAAACAGGGTCCCACTCTGCAAACACTGCTTCTTCAGGGTGGAGTACTGCTGCCCCTCAAAGGCCTTCACGGAGGAGAACATCCTTCAAGCTGCAGCTACAAAAGGGGAAAGTACAATTAAGAAAAACTGGATTTTACAACGACTCTGGCCCTACGGCTATAACTCCTGAGAACGTAAGTGATGTTTTGTTTACTATCTTGTGGGTTTGTGTGTCTTCAAGCCATGGAAGAATATGACATCATACTATCATACACCATTAGCTACTGCAAACATGTCCAAAACACTCTAGTATCATTTTAAAAAATGACACTTGACTCTTTTATGCTGATAGATCTTTATATCCACACAGATGTATCTAAACCTCATAACTCTGTTTATTTCTGCTTTTTCACAGTATTTGAATACAGCTGCTTCCCTTTTCCTTGTGTGAACATTTCATGATCAACGGACAAACAGAAATGCTCCAAAAACTTTGGAATAAAATCAGTATACTTACTTGCATTAAAGTCCAGAACATTTTTTTCTTCTCTTACAAATTATTAATCCACTATTTCTGAAATATGAGCTTCTGTCACAACAGCAACAATATATTACACTTTTCGCTGACAGACTTTTATACATTGTAAATACATCCTCTCTACTAAATGAGACACACTCACATATGTAAGCAGTGCTATGTTTGTAATTAGGCAATGCATATTCATGCTTATGGAGATTAAAACTGACCATGACGGATTCAGTGTCTACTTTGGCATTTAACTGACCTGAGGGTGAGTTATCGCCTCTTCATAGCCTGTCCCCTCCGGTGACAAATTGCTCATGTTCGATTTCAGTCACAGCCCTATTACACTCTCCCTCCCTACTCACACACCTGCCATCAATATGGACAGGATACCAAACATGCCTGTGCCCGTTTCCGCTATGCCGCTCTGACTGAAATACTGCCTACAAACAGTCCAAAGGATCTGAAACGCACAGAAACACACAAAGGCCCAATCCCATTTCACCCCTTGCCCCTACCACTTAGCCCTTAGCCCTCTGTTTTGCGCGTTCACGTCTAGGGTTAGGGTGTCCCAATTTTTGTTGAGACAGAGGGGTAGGGCCAAGTGTTAGGGCTATATGGCCCTCCAAACGGAGGTTTTTCAGAGGCGTACTCCAAACGGAGTGTTATGAGGAAAAAAAAAAGAAAAACCGGTAAGATGGCTGCGCGAGCGACCAAAGAAACCCACAAATGTACTTAAGTATTTTCTCCGTTAAAAAATTGCGATAACCTTCGTATTTTCTTAGTTTAATGTCGTTTCAATGCAGTATGGTCTTCATAGTGTGTTTTTTCATAACAAGCATAAAAATCGCTAATAGCATGCTAATGTCTCGGTAGCTAGCTAGCTAACTTTCCCGTTCCACCTTAAATAGTCCAGCAGTGCTGACGCCTGAAGCGCCAGAATGTAACTGCTGCACCATTTAAGGTGGAACGGGAAAATACGAACAAGAAGCTGGTGAATGTCTGACTTCAGCTTCGTATCACCAAAGAATTAGCGGTGGGCGATAATAAATAATTGTCTTATACCGCCTCATTGAAAGGATATGATGCCCTAAATGTAACTAAAGCCGAGTAGCGTGGTTGCTGAACTTTTCCCTTCTCTGCTATCACTGAAGACGGGCCAGGTCGCCTACAGAGCACCACTAGTAGCCTGTTAATGAAGCAGTGTTTTGTTTTTTGTTTTTTTTTTATTTGAGGGTTGACCCATTTCGTAGGGCAAGATTTCAACCACTACCCCTTGTAACTCAGTTCCAAGGGGTTAGGGTGACACTCGAAAACAAGGGGTAGGGGTAAAAAAAGAAATGGGATTGAGCCAAAGTCACTGTGATCAAGGCAAACCAGCTCCAACACTAAATACAAATATTCAAGAAAAACACCAGCATTTTCCAACCTAATCTCTTCCTGCTGTATTTGTGGATTATGTTGTTCACCACGGGCAATAATTTCCCTGTGCTTAGGAAAAAACAGAAAATTTGCTGACTCAAAACACATTTAGGCCCAATCCTATTTTACCCCTTGCCCCTACCACTTACTTATGGGATTGGGCCTTAAGGTCAACAGCCAGAAACAATGACGATATTATGATGACTAAATTATGGCAGTATTTAATATTGCACTGGTGTCAAATTTACATTCCACATCAAAAACGTCCCAAACAGTAGCAGCTAGCTTAGCATGCTGGATCTTCACTCATCACAACATACATTAAATTACAGCGTACTGATGCACGTTTAGAGAAGACTCTAAATATCTCAAGATCTAAAGAAAATCTGAGAGTTGGTAGCTAAGCTACTCTTGCCCCACAACCTCATTAGAGGTTAGTTTAGTATGCAAACTTAAACAGCTTCACACCACAACACAAGTTTGATATCTGCATGTTTAGAACTAGTGAAGTTGAGTGACTGGTGTCAGTGTACAGGGGGGTATTTTACAAAGCAGCATTCCTCAGTTTAGCCAGATAACTTAAGCCCAAGGATGAAGACTGTCCAATAGGAATGTCCCTCAGCTCTTTCACTACTTAACATGCCTGACTGGGCTTAAGTTATCTGGCTAAACTGAGAAATCCTGATTTGTGAAATACACCCCAGAATCTAACCTGTTCTACTTTAGCTCATCACAAGCGTTATCAGCTCCACTGTACTGCAAGGTTGTTCAGTTTTAGGGTTTAACATTTATTGGGTGATGGAAGTCTGATAGTTAATGTTACAGTATAAATGTATTTTTATTGTTCTTATCTTCTTATTGTCTCAGTCTGTGTTCTCCATCTGCCGAAAGCACAGCATGCAGGCAGAGAAGGACTTTGAGCCTGTTTACACCTTGCATTAACATGTGTTTCGTGCCCGTTTCATATCTGCATAAGCTATGGAAAGATTCTGTTTACACTTTTTTACTAAAATGAATCCCCAGTGTGACCAGATGAGATCCGATTGTATAATTTCTGTGTAAAAAGCATGTCAACACATACACTGGCCTAGTGTGCATGAAGGCTCTGGGTTTGGGCCTAACTTCAATCTCACATTTCCTCCATCTTTCGTTTTCTTGTTTATTCTCTCACTTGCTAGTCAGCATTTGGTGGAAACATTTCCACTCAGGTAACTGTTAATGACAACAGCGATAACAAAAATGCATTCTGTTTACACTTGAGTTAAATGTGGTCAAGATCTGTCTCTGACCACCTCCAAATATGGGTTGAGTGATAAGCTCACAATGCATCTTGGGGGTGGGGTGCTTACACTTAGCTCTTCATGCAGTCAAATGAAATGTGAACGTGATCCGATCACTGAAAATGCATGTTATGCAATGTGTAAACAAGCTTATTGATGCAGGACTCTAAGGAAAGCAGGGGGGGGGTTTGGAAACCCAGAGGCAAGGGTGCATTTTCAACTTGCATAATCATGCATATTCATAAATCTTTCCATTGTTATTGAGTTTTAATGTTTAGATTGTTTCTAGGCCATATTTAGTAGTTTCCTGGGCTGAAGAGTAATACATAAAAATATTTACCAATTATTATTTAGCATAGATTACTCTTTATTTTTTAAATTATGGCTTTGGGGTAAGTTTTTTAAGTGAATGGGTTGCCTGTACTTTTTCTAAGTACAAGGAAATGTCAAAATAATTGTCTGTGGTTACCGAAAGCATGGTACAGACGCAGCAGATAGAGATTAGACTGAAAATGCTACAATATTCTTTTAAATCAGAAAAGGGGAATTTTGGCTTGCAAGCAAACAAAAAAGTAAACATTTAAAATGTTCACACTCACACATGCAAATGGGGTCCCTCACACATCCCTGACCTGCCTCCGTCGGCCTGGCTACACTGGCTTCCTGCGATGCTATAAATTTTGACTGGGGTGGTTTTCGGTCCCTGCACACATCGATCTGATCATTACCTTCAGAGAAGAAGAGACAAGAGGGGACTTTTTCCATTGCCATAAGTGGCTAGCAACGAATTCCAGTTGCCAGGGAGATATGTTGGCGGGATAAAGCAAGACGGCCCTCTAATCTTGTTAGTCTTAGGAGTGCACAATCTTGCCGGCGGGCAACAGGGCAGAGGCAGGCCGTGCAGAGGGAACAGCACCTGCTCAACAGATCCTTCACTATTACACCAGTGCAATATTGTGTCTGTGCTGTGTGCTCTGCTTTAAAAATGCAGGTCAGGCAGGAACACGACATCATATACTGCTTCAATTCATCTGAGTCTTTACTTCACTAAACCAATTCCCTGAAGGCAAATTCATTTACTGTATTGTACTGTACTGTATTTACTGCATTGGTCTTGTATTGAAAGCACAATGCTTTTAAATAGGATAACATGGTCAGCAACTAAATACTCTGAACTTTCAAGACAAATCTGTGTGAATAGGCTAACACTATGCTGATGTTGTTTTCTGCCTATTGGCAAATCAAACAGAACATGCTAATTTGAATGAACGGGCTGAAACACATCCTTAGCATATCTAAAACTGCTCCTAGAAACAATCTACATAAGGTATAACCCATTCTGTATTTGTTTTAAACTGAGTGAGGAATGTTGGGCTTCACTGTAGGCCTATCTCTGCATCTCAGTGTTAATCCCTTCAAAACATGTTGAAAGAGGTCATGTTTAAATTATTTAGATACTTTTTTTTAGTTCTGCCTAAAAATACTTGCAACAATGCACTGAAGAGTTTTGAACTGATAAAAAAGAGACACTAAATTAGAAAATCAGAGATGTTGAAGGGCCTATATATACAGACAACCAAAGTTTCCTCACCTTTTTGTTAAATTTAAATGTCAAAATTTGTAGTTTTAAATCATACCATTCACTCCTCAGTCCATACAGTTCATGTATGGGGAAAAAAAGTACTATTCAAATTAGTTTTACACAGGGAGGTGGGGTAATGAAATTTGATCACTTGATGTGTGTAATGTTTATGATCGATTCACCCAGGATATGACATTTCTGTAGAAATGACAGAGACAGGAGGGGCTACTCGATTTAAGCATTGCCTTCACTCCATCATCATCATCATCATGTTTATTTATATAGCGACATGCTAAAGGACGGTTTACC